TTATCTATCTATCTATCTATCTATCTATCTATCTATCTATCTATCTATCTATTTTATTTGCCGCCCATCTTGTATCCAATTACTCAAGGGGTCCTTGGTGCTCTCTGACTTTGCTTGTTTTCTTGCAAATGTTTCATTACCCAAACAAGGTAGCATCATCACCTAGCACTGCTGATGTTACCTAGTTTGGATAATGAGACATCTGCAAGACAAACAAGCAAACTCAGAGAGGACCCCATAGTCCTCCCTCTCCTCCTCCACAAACCCCTCTCCCTTCCAACCCTGATGTGGTTACCTAGCCAGGTAATGAAACGTCTATAACAAAATAGTGAAGTGTTTGTGTCGCAAAGCCCATTCAGAGCGATGGCAATACTTTTAAAACAAAGAGAGACCTTACTAAAAAGAGGCAATATTTTTTACCTTTTCTATTTGAGTCCATTTATCCAGCACATCACTGGCAAAGTTAAAATACTCTGGTAGTTGGTCCTGTCCCTGGCTTATAGCTTTGTACTGTGCAGATATAGGAGAGCTGAGATATCTGGAACACCTTGGAAATAATCTGGGGATCTTTTTCCATATCGTGTAGAAAGCAAGTGAAGTTTTCATGGCTGGGAAAAAGTGGGGGAAATGCAGTGGTGTTAGCCAATATTAGCTTCCAGAGACTTAATCTGCAAGACTGAAGGAGATTAAAAAGGACAAGATCATAGTATCAAAATCAGCGGGGGAAATCAAAGTTCTTCAGAAGTATTTCTTGTTGCAAGTTTTTATAATCGCCCTGTCAAATAAACATGTTTGCTGTTGAAAGCGTCGAAGACTCAAGAGAATGAAGGGACGTGGTTTATCATGTTTGGTGCGTGTATAAAAAAAAAAAGCCAAAAAGAAAATACAGACACAAATACATATATATTAATTCAGAAGATTTTGGAGATTTAAAATACAGCTGAATCCAGAATCTTTTCTTTTTGGGACTATTATATGCTCAACAGTGGGAGGATTCAAGCATATCCACAATGGAGGAAATGGTTGATGAAGATGATGAAACTTGCTAAATGAAGATCATCTGCATTTATGGCTGGCTGCCCATCCTTTATAGACTTGGCATGAAATGGAAAATCATGCACCTATGACTTGTGGGTTTTAAGGATTAGGGGGGGAAAAAGGATAATTGAAAAAAGTGACCTCATTGAGTAAGAGATAATTTTGTAATTGTACTTATATTTTCAAAGGAAATTGAACCCTCCCATTTTCTTCTCTCATCCATCCCCTCCCTCCTTTCCTCCTCCTCCCTTCCCCTTCTCACCCATCTCCTTTCCTCTTTCCTTCCTTTCCTCCCTCATCCATTTCCTTCCTTCCTCCCCCCTCCCTTTTTCCCTTCTCATCCATCTCCTTTCCTCTCTCTTTCTTTCCCTCCCTCATCCATTTCCTTCCTTCCTTCCTCCCCCTACCTTTTTTCCTTCTCATCCATCTCCTTTCCTCCCTCCTTCTTTCCCTCCCTCATCCATTTCCTTCCTTCCTTCCATCCTTCTTTCCTTCCTTTTATATTAATTTGTTTTTTTCTGTTTTCTGTATCCCTTTTTAAAAATGTACATAAAAAGGGGAAGAGTTGAAGGACCAAGTTGGGACTTTTGAAGAAAGCCTTTCTCTGCGGCTGCTAAGAGTCAACAACAACTGGATGGCATCATTTCAGCTAATGTTGGCAATGCCCTGTTGAAGATGTGGGAGCAATTTGGGGAAGGAACATTTTAACTCAGGAAGCTAGTCCTTCCCCAGAGGCCATGCTACTACTAACCCACTTTATAACTTAAACAATAGGCGGGAAGACAGGACTAAATTTGCAATTTGGTTCAAGCTGAACATGGAACGTGAGGCTGATCCTCACACAAACTGACCTGCAAGATGTGCTAGTTTTGAAGAATCTGGTTGGAGAACTCAAAATTTGTGAAAATTCTTTGTAATGTTGGTTGCCTTTCCAAGTTGTCTGGCTGTTTCAAAATGGAACTCCGTTTTCTTTGGAGAAAACTAACTGGACAAGGTACCCCTTAGATATAAGTCCATGGTTGAGGGATACAGTGCAATCCAAAACTGCTCAGCGAGTCTCTCCTTTAATAACTGATGTGCTAGTAAAATATTATCCTAAAATTGACTCCTCCTGTCAAAGGAGGAAACTATGAACTCTGGCCCAAAAAGAAAAACAGCCAACAGCACACAAAGTTCTGGTTATCTTGATTTTTTTTTTTTTTTTGCTACATTCAACTCCTGCGTTCAAAGGTCAGATATCTTGGAGATTTAAGTTTGTCCCATTAGTTCTGGACATCCATCTTTGAAGCTTGATTTTTTTTTCCTACTTAGCAAGGTAATTCAATCTTTTGGGACCTTGGATTTCAATCCTTCAACAAAGCTTTCTCTTCCCTCCTGCCTGTTTCACGCTTTTCCAATGGCTACTGGCAGAACACTGAATCACACAATAATTTTAATCCAGACACTTCAAGGTTTATGTCTTCCAGAGGAGCGATAACCTGGATGGTCTGACAAGATTCCTTAGCTCTTTATTGCATTTTATTCTGACATGAGTATAGACAAACCTTGCTTTAAAAAAAGGTGTTTTTTTTGCAGACTAGACAATAAAGGAAGGGTAGGAATTAGAGATAGGGTGGAAGAATACAAAAATCCACTCAACTGCTCAAACAATACATTTAGTAGAAGTAATAGCAACTGCTTAATTTTTTAATGTGCTAAACATTTACTTACTTCTAAAGCTGCATTTAAACTTATTCCTTTAATCAACTTTTACATGCTACAGCGAGAAGGCTCACTTTGTTTTTTGCAATATCATTGAATTATACTAAAACAAGGCATTAAAATCAGAGGGGGGAAAATAAAATTACAGCTAGCATATCCCAAATTAACTAAAATTACAAGCATGAACGTGGATGATAGTATTTATGATTCAAAAGCAATTGAACAGGTGAAATTCGTGATGAATGCAATTATTATGGTTGGTCACACAGTCAGCCAGGTGTTCAGACTGAATTTGTCATTTGTATCCACCTATCAAGTATTTCCTAAGGACCTGGGAGAGGCAGATGTTGGAAGGAAGGAAGGAAAAGAATGACAGAAGGAAGGAAAGAAAGATGGAATGAAGAAAGGGAGGGAGAGAGGAAAAGAAAAATCAAATCAATCAAATCAATCAAATCAATCTGTAATTATAAGAACAGCTCAGTCTTTTGAATGCCACTCACCAAGGACCCTAAATTGGACTTAAAACCTTCTAGCATGGGATCAATTGGCTTGGAATAATACAATGAATGAAAATGGGACAGCAGAGAATGGAAACATGTTTTATTTGGGAAGGTCGAGCCGGCGTTTGACTTCACTCCATTCTTGTTTCCGCAAGACACTCCGTTTAATTTTTCCAGCTGCTGTTTTGGGAAGCTCTTGGACAAATTCGATCTGTTCGGGGAAAATTAAAAAGGAAAAAAAAAATCTTATGTGCAGAAATGAGTAAATTGACATTAGCAATTAGAGAGCAAGAAGATAAAGAATATTATAAAATTTGGGATTTATTTCCCAAGAAGGATCGTAAAATAGGAGAACTCTCACTTAACTGTCTTACTTAGCAACAAAGGTTTTGGGCTCAATGATGGTTATAGTTCGAGGGCTGCAGGCAATAAAAATAATATTTAGCATTCACAATGGGCATCCTAGGCTGGCCTACCTTGAAGGGTTGACGTCATATCCTGTGCTTCCCTTCCCCACCTCCCATGCTGCATTTCCCAAAGCCACCAAACATCCACTCATCAACCCAGAGCTAAAGGTTCTCGGCTTGCAAAGTTCAATCATTCTTTTCTGCAACTGTCCCGCTCCCCACTTGCCTTCCTGGGATATTTATATGGAGCTGTAGATTTTTTCAGATAGTCCTGGAGTTCTTGGATTAACGCCTCTGGATTGCGGGATAGAAAATCAGGGGACAAGATGATAAATGCTTTGACCACCTGTATGGGCACAAACATACCTGGCAGTGAACGCCTTGAGAAACAGGTTGTAAAGTTACTCCGTGACTTATCTCAATCCTGGTTCAGATTAGCCAATGCAGGTGAGCCCCCAATTCTGACCTGCTCTTGTAAATTAACTTCCTACTGTAGCTATTTCCCATTTTTTCCCAGCAGCTGACTTCTTCTGTCTGTTCAGTCTATTCACGGTTCTTTCTTGCAGATTGCTTGGGAAATGGTTTCTGGGGAGTGACTAACTACAAGGACTCCTCAATTTACATTAATTTATTTACATTTACATTACAGGATGTTTCTTTGTACATGTAACCTGATTTGTGGAGATCTTGATGAGCGTGGTTGTTGGCTGGCAAACATTTCATTACCCAACTAGTTGCCGTAACATTCTCAGTGGGAGGGAGGGATGTGACCTAGTCAGGTTTCCTAGTTGAGCTGCTGATATTACATAGTTGGGTAATGGAACGTCTGCAAGAAAACAGCCGAGAGAGCACCAAGAATTATTCAGTCATCATCCTTCTCTTTCTTCCACTCCTCCTCTCTGCAAACCCCATGCCCTTCTAGCACTGAGGATGCTACCTAGTTTGGTAATGAAACGTCTGCAAGAAAACAACCAAGCTCAGAGAGCACCAAGGACCCCACAGTTTGACCTTGAGCAACAAACATTTTCTTCTATTGTATAATCGATGGCATAAGGGCCTAGCTTACCTCTCCTCTAATAGGATCTGGGCTACTGACAACAGCGGATTCTACCACTGCTGGGTGTTCCATCAAAGCACTCTCCACTTCAAAAGGGCCAATGCGATATCTAAAATAGACGGTTGTTGTTCTTAACCCTTCTGTGAATGGTGAAGGAAAGAAACCAACCTCAGTGTAGAAAAAGGAAACCTACCCCGAAGAATTGATGATGTCGTCGGACCGCCCAACAAACCAAAAATAGCCTTCTTCATCTTTGACCGCTCTGTCTCCGGTGATGTAAAAATCCCCACATTCAGTGGCTGCAGTTTTTTCTGGGTTGTCCTGGAAGGAACCAACAATGAGTCCATGACCCACCATTTCTAGGTTCAATGACTTCCAGTCATGCAGGCTACAATTCTGGGAATTTTTCAGCTTAGTGTGGCCATTGGTTAAAATTCTGAGAATTTATTTTATTTATTTTATTTGTCAAGCATGTATTAGATAACAGGTATAATTGGAACATGATCATGATTACATGAAATGGGTACATTAGGACAGGGACGGTAGGCACGTTGGTGCTCTTATGCCACACCCCTTACAGACCTCTTGTTCTGACCCAAACCTTGTTCCAAGGAAGCAAACATGAAACAGAGGTAACAGCAAAACCTTTTAATGAATTTTGGGAGTTGAAGTCCACAAGTCTTAAAGTGGCCAAGTTTGGAGACCTCTGGTATAAAGTATACAACCTGGAATAAATGCATACTAATCCCATTTGCTGAAGTGTTAAAAAAAATCATACTTACTGTGTATTTCAAGAAAAGACAGAATGGTCGTTTGGGTTTGATTCTGATGGCCACGTCTCCTTCTTTTCCGGGGGGCTGAATATTTCCTTCATCATCAATTACCTTCAGAAATAAAAGCAAAGCATCCCTTAGGCAAGTCAGGTGGTGTAGAAATATGATAAATAAACGAAAAGCATTGCTCCGATTGTGTTTATTGTCGGAGGTCTTCTATGCCAACTCCCTGCCCAAGATACCATCTTGGTCCAGTAGCTGTCCAATTGACATTGGAGACCTTCTCAGCTGACTTTCCAAAAGCAAAGTCAATGGAAGAAGCCAGACTCACTTAAGGACCACATGATTCAGTTAACAACAACAACCTTGGGGGGAAAAATGGTTGTAAAATCATGCATCCTTCACTTAACAGCCGCTTTGCTTGGTGTGATGACCCAGGTGGGATACAAAATAAACATAGTCACAAAAACAGGTGAAGCCCCTTTTATTCCTTCACTTTGCTTCAAAGCTCCAAATATCCTTGACTCCCCCACAAACAGTTACGAAAAGGAGGAAATGCCGTTTAAACTAAAAATGCCTATAAATTATAAATAGCAAAAACAACACAAAGCACACTGAAGCAATTAAGGGAACCAGGCAAGATAAGGGCTTGAAGACGTCCACAGATATTGGAATACACACTGGGAAGGATGGCAAACTCAGAGAGGAACGACAGATTAGAAATATTTCCATGCTTTGTTTCCAGCACTGGCCCATACGCATGTCCGTCCTTTTAACCAGTTCTCACTGCTGCAGCCCATGAAGAGGATCAAGGCCCTTTCCTCCCCCATAGACCATGCCATTCACATCTCTCCCTTATTCTCTCCTCCCTGCGTGCCCTAGGGTGGAGAAGGGATGGGCCTGGGCTTTCCTCTGCCCTTCCCCAGCCTCCTCCACAACCTCCGGAGCCACACTTCCACTCCCTGTCGGCTGTTCCTCCTCTCCCTTGGAGTCAGTCTCCAACAGGGGAATGACACTTGGCAACAGAAATTCTGGCCCCAATTGTGGTTGTAAGTTGTTTCGTTACCCAACTAATATACCCGTAAAGTACATTCTTTTTCTTTTGGTTGTGACTAGCATAAAGTAAAAAAACAAAACCATAAAGACTGTGACATAATTAACCACAACATCACAACAGCCTACATTTAAAAATTGTATTGTACTGAATAACAAGATTGGTCCTTCTTACCTGGACATCGTAGGGTGGAGATGCTTTTCCCATTGAGCCAGACTTAATTTTCATTCCTTGGACATTCGCACAGATTGTTACCTGCAAGAGAGAGGAGGATGGGACACAAGCTGTCAGGACCATGGTGACAATCAGGAGATGGGATCAGACACAACTTTTGGGGAAATGAAAATGAATCTATTGTGGAATCCTTGGTGCTCTCTGAGACCGGTTGTTGGCTTGTAGACCTTTCATTACCCACCTAGCTAACATCATCACTTCTAGTGAGTGTGCTGTCTGTTTATATACAATAGCTTGCCCTATGAAGTGTTGGTGGGGGGGGGGACACATAGAAATAAATCGTAAACTGTTCAAAAGAAACAACAAAATATACTAAGAGATAAAAAAATGGTGCTGGAGAAGACTCCTGCGAGTCCCTTGGACTGCAAGGTGA